CTGCCAAAAAAAACAAACAAATTTTGGTGTGTGTGTGTGTGTGTGTGTGTGTGTGTGTGCATGCTAGACATGATATAAAATGTATTATTTTTCCAAAAAGTTTGAAAAGCATTTTTTATTTTTATTTATTTACTGGGTTTTTTTTGGAGGGGGGGGGGGGGCTGGCCGGTAAGAGGATCTGATATATATTTTTTGGAAAACACTATTTTTAATGACTTTTTTATTCTGACATTTTGTCCTTCCCATTTTGGGGGGTATTAAACTTTTCTTTTTTGAAATATATGTAAAAAAAAAAAAAAAGAAGTTTTTTTAAAACACCAACAATCCTATGTCATTCCTCACCCTCCATCTTTTTTTTTTCCTACTGGTCCCTGTAATCCAAAAGTTTGGAAATCTTTGCTATAGTGGATTTAAACATGATATGCCTTGCCGGCAGTGTAAATTGATACAATGGTTTTGGGGAACAACTTGTCATGTACAAAGAACCATAAAAATATTCATACGGTTTGGTGCATTAATTCCCTTTATAAAAATCTATCCTTAGGAAAGATCCTAAATATAAAAAAATTGTAAGTGTATTATAGCATTATGCATATGATAAAGAAAAATTAGAAACAACTTAAATGTTTAACAATAGGGAACTGGTTAAGTAAACCAATAAATATCCATCCATTTATACAACCATTTAAAGTGATAGTCATAATATTAGAAGAATGCCTTTATAATATAATATTAAAATTGTAACTAGAATAACCACCCACATAGTGCTACCAAACGCTAGGCAGTATGCTAAGTGCGTTTCCTAAGTTAACTCATTTAGTCCTTCTTACAGGGACCCTATGAAGGGAGTCCTATTATTACCCTCATTTTACAGATAAGAAAACTGAACAAGTCGTTTTCCTACAATTCCCTGACACCAACTGGATGTCCTACAGTTGAGCTCAGTTCAGTTCTGACACTAACTACCCAGAGTTAGCTCAAACCCTACAAGTTAAGTGTTCAGTTACACAAGGCTGCTTCTACTTTAGATGCCAGCCACATGTGGGGTCCCCAGGCTATCCGCATATCTGCCTGGCCATCTACAAATTCAGGGGGTTACCATGACCTCCCCTTCAGGTTTGATAATTCCCTAGAATGACTCACAGAACTCAGGAAAGCATGTACTTGTGCTTACAATTTTATCATAAAGGATGCAACTCAGGAACAGCCAAATGGAAGAGATTCATAGAACAAAGTATGGGGCTGGGGTGGTGCAGAGCTTCCATGCCCTCTCCAGGGCACCACCTTCCTAGCACATCCATTTGCTCACCAACCCAAAAGATGCCTAAGCCTTGTTGTTTCAGGATTTTCATATGGGGTTACATTACCTAGTCATGATTAAACCACTGGTCACATTACTGTATTCAGTCTCTAGTCCTCCCTTCCCTGGAGGTGGGGCAGTGCTGTAAGTTATACCCTCAAATCACATGCTTGGTCTTTCTGGCAGAACAAACCCCTCCCTTGAAACTTTCTAAGGGCCCACCATAAGTCACCTCATTAACATAAATTCTGGTATGGTTGAAGGGCTTGTTATGAATAACAGGTACTCCTATCACTCAGGAAATTCTAAGGGTTTTAGGAGCTCTGTGCCAGGAACCAAGGGCAAAGACCAAATATACTTTTTATACCACAGTGAAGCACAGAAAGGTTAACTTGTCCGAAATCACATAATATGTGACCTAGCTGAGATTCATAATTTTAAAAATTCGTGTGTATTAATGTATCCTGGAAGGGAATAATACTCCAATGCTTATAGAGATTAGAGGGTAGGATTAAATTAAAATATTTTTAGTAGGATTATAAATTTATACATACATTTTAGGAAATCTAGCCTTTACTACAACTTGAAGTGGAAATGCTTCCTTATTTGACCATCCTAAAGCTGTGAAATATTAAAGCTGTAGAACCTCTTTTTATAGATGAGGAACTGCATAAGATTTGCCCCAAATCATACAATGGGTAAATGACAGAACGAGGCTAGAATCTAGTTCTTCTCTTTTGTTTTTGTCCATCTCATTTTTCTAGAGATCAGCTAGCTGCTCCTGTGGTCTGTGTTTATGTAGATTAGACATGGGCACAGACTGTAACTTTCATGTGTCCACAATCCTGCCCTTTACCCAGACTTTCTGATTCTGTACAGGAATCCTGAGCCCCTCCTGATACTGAGCCTCAAGTTTTGGCTTTGAGGAGGGTACCTGTTGGATGAAAGGCCCAGATAGGACATGTGTCCACAATCCTGCCCTTTACCCAGACTTTCTGATTCTGTACAGGAATCCTGAGCCCCTCCTGGTACTGAGCCTCAAGTTTTGGCTTTGAGGAGGGTACCTGTTGGATGAAAGGCCCAGATAGGACTCTCCTAGCTGTCTCCCTGATCTAAGCTTGGTTTCCAAGAAGGGAAGAAAATGAAATGAGGGTATAACCTGCCTTGGCAACCTTTTTTCGCAAGTCACCTCAGTTAACAGAAAAATTTCCCCATTACAGGGCTCTGTGGACTGCCCCACTCTGGAGTTTGAGTATGGAGATGCAGATGAGCACGCAGCAGAGTTGTCAGGTATGAGGTTGGTGTGTCAACAGGAGTGGAAGAATGGCCAGGAGGGGAGGAAAGGGGCCTGTGATCTCCCCTGCAGCTTGTCTGTTCTCAGCAAGTGGTTATTGAGCAAAGACTGTTCTCCACATTCCTTTTTCTCCACCCTCCAGTGGTAAATATATCTTTGTGTGCTTTCACATTTCTTTTTGTGAATTCTCCCTGGCTATGGTATTCTTCATTTTTTCATTCTATCACTCTTTCCTGCTCACCATTCTTAAGATATTTTCTTTTGGTGTACTCTAAACTCAGTTTTCCCTCCACCTTCTTCCTATTCCTCCTCTTTGTTTTCCTGTCACCCATATCTTTGCATGCCTCCCTCCTTCTTCTACTCTCTCTTTTTCCCATTCCATTTGTTTCTCCTTTATCTCCTCTACCTCCATTTTCTCTCCTTCCCCTAACACCTGCCCCTTATTAAATCTCAGCAATATCTGAGGAAAAACTCTATAGACAACTGGCCAGCCAAGCATGGCTGGATGTGTCACCTGCATCCACCATAGTGGAGCTCTGCTTGGATATCTTTGTGAGTTGGGCTAAGTGATCCCATTCTGCTTTTAGTGCTGGGTTGCTTCTCTCTGTTTGGATTTTTAGCTTAGAGTAAATGTGATCTCCTCACATCAGCAGCCTTCATGATACACATGCTATGAATGCCAGTTATTAATAAACAAGCTTTGAGTGGAGATGGTGTGAAAGTTAAATATTCTGTCATATGAATATATGACAATGTGGAAGTGACACTTTGAGACATGCTTTTTCAGAGAATAGAGACAAACATTTCTAAAAAAGTCCTTATGAATAAACAGGGAATAAATTTTGTACTGAGGGACAGTGAAAGAGAGAACTAAGTTTAATAACTAACAAAGGATTAGAATTCAGAATATGAATATATACATATATAAAAGGGTACTTCAAAAAGTTCATGGAAAAATAGAATTAAAAGTTAATTTGAATCTTTCCGTGAACTTTTTGAAGTACCCTTATGTACAGAGAGAAGAGAAAGATGACAAACCTAATAGAGATGTGAGCAAAGAATATGAATAGGACTTCATAGAAGAGAAAATCAAATGGGTAATAAATATATGAAAAGATGTTCAGGTTCACTAGTAAGTGGGGAAAAGCAAATTGAAATAATGATATATTATTTCATAATCATCATATTACAAAACTTAAAAGCCTGGAGTTGGTAGGGTGCAAAGAAATTAGTACTTTTATACACTGCTAGGCATGTGGGAGCAGAGTATAAAATTAGAAAGCAGTTTGGTCATATCTAGTAAAGTTGAAGATGTACACATATTATTACCCAGCAATTCTACACCCAGATGTACACTCTAAAGGTACTTACAACTGGGCATAAGAAAATGTACAAAGATATTTATTGTGGCCTTGTTTATAATTGTGAAAAATTGAAAACAACCTAAAATGCCCATTAGTAAAGGAATGGATAAACTGTAGCGTATCAGTGTGGTAGGCTACTGCATAATTGAAATAATTTCTCTGTATCAACATGCTTCAATATCAATAAATGCTAAAAACAAAGTTGGGGAAAGAAACAGTGACATAATTTATACAATATGATACTGCTTGGATAAACATTTTTAAAACAGAGCAATATCATATGTTATTTACAGGCACATGCAAATAGTAAATGTATAAAAATAGGCATGTGAAGGATACATAGCAATTTCATTATAGTGGTTACCTCTAGAGAAGAATAGACTGGGGAGCAGTCTGAATTAAATATTACAAATGTTAACATTTATTTAATCTGGATGGAAGGCAGATGTGCCTTAAAAGTATTCTGTACTTATCTGTATATGAAAATCCATAATTTAAAATTTAAAAATAAAATAAAAAGAACAAAACCAAAGTTCAGTACCTAAGAGCCTTGTTCACATTTCTGAGCAGGCTTGTGGTGCTCTACTCTTTATAGGGGAGCAGGGGGCAGCTGGCCAATACAGGGATCCGAACCCTTAACCTCAGTGTTACAACACTGCGCTCTAACCTGCTTAGCTAACTGGCCAGCCCCAGAGGTGCTCTACTCTTTAAAAATGTAGGTCCAGGGCCGGCCTGGCAGAGAGACAGGACAGTGGAGGTTTTGTGTGAAGGACAGAGGGGATGTTGAATATGAAGCTACAGAGTGAGTTCAGGCCAGAAAATTTTGGGCCCTTTACTTTTTCTCTTACTCTTTCTCAGCTAAATAAGGAAAGCTTTTGGAGAGAAGAATTTGTTCAGGGCTGAGATCAGAAGTGGGTATGTTATCAGGAGCCTTTCTAGAAAGGGATGGCATTGGCTGACACTGGATGTGTATGGCCTTCTATCCCTAGTGCAGGGCAAGGAATGGTTGGAGTTGGAGGAAGATGCCCAAAAGGCCTATGTGATGGGACTCCTGGACCGACTAGAGGTGGTCAGTAGGGAGCAGCGGCTGAAGGTGGCCAGGGCTGTTCTCTACCTGGCCCAAGGTGAGTGAGCAACCTTGCTAGCTTGAGAGGATTGGAGGCTGGGGAGAGAAGTGGTGTTGTCAGGACTGGGATGAGGCAGGCTGTGCTGGGAAAGCAAGGTCCCCTGCCTCTCAACAACAGATCTTATCATGTGCTAGGAGTCAACCTGTGCTCATAAGGAAGGTGAAGAGATGGTGCTGAGTGTTGTTCTGAATCCTACTTTTATCTTACCAGGATCTCTTATAAGATTCTTTTTTCCCTAACCTGGGTTGTAATTGTATGTGAAGACTAGCAAGAGGGTCAGTGTGGCACAGACTCACACATGGATTTCTCCATTATTTCTCGTTGGCATTTTGAAGGTTCAAGCCAATAGAGCAGGAGGAATGGATGCTGTGAGTAATTTGGAGATGATCCGAACTAAATGAGATTAATTGGAGAAAGCTTCCCAGAAGATACCTGTTAACCAGGTTTGGAAAGGGAAGTGGGATAGTCTAGCTGGAGTAGTGAAAATAAGCCCTGAAACCATAAATATGAAGATTGTTAGCAGAACCAACTAGGTGGGAGCTAAAAGAAAAAAAAAAGTGGACAGGAAAAAGGGTAGACATTGGATGAAGGGAAGACTAGCAAATAAGGCAGTGCCCACCCATATCTCTTAGGTCTGGTGCTCTGGCCAATGCCCATCTACCAGTACTTTCACTTTTTTGCCTTCATCTTTTTGTCTCCACAGCCCACACAGGGCAGCCAAGGGTAGACATTGGATGAAGGGAAGACTAGCAATAAGGCAGTGCCCACCCATATCTCTTAGGTCTGGTGCTCTGGCCAATGCCCATCTGCCAGTACTTTCACTTTTTTGCCTTCATCTTTTTGTCTCCACAGCCCACACAGGGCAGCCAAGAAGTGTAGAGAATTAATGTGCTCTCCTAGTCCAGCACACCTCATCGAATGACTGACAGGGCCCAATACTTCACCCATCTTGGATAGGATAACTCTGAGTTGTGTGTTTTATACTGTTTCCAGAGCTTCACCTAGGATTGCACTCTTTTGGCTGCATTCTCTTCCCTGTCTCATTTCCCCACTTCTCTACTGATGATTCCTGGGATCAATTCCCAAATAAACTACCTGTACTTGAATCCTTGCTTATTTTAGGATCTGTTTCTGGGGGAACCCAAACTTAAGACAGGTGATTGATGAGTACCTTGGACCTAACCCTGGAGAATGCTTCTCCTCTCCCCTGACTCATTCCAGTTCTCAGGGACCCTGCCCTACCTCTCTCAGCCTAATTATTGGACAGGGTGTTACAAGAAAGTCTTCAGATCATGAAGCGGAGTGGAAAGAACTGGGATACTCCTCCACCCCCCGCCACTTTGGCAACTGTCTGGTCTTTTAGGCACTTTTGGGGAATGTGATTCAGAAGTCGATGTGCTACACTGGTCCAGGTACAACTGCTTCCTGCTCTATCAGATGGGGACCTTCTCGGCCTTCCTGGAGCTACTCCACATGGAAATCGAGTGAGAAGCCTTAGGGGAGGACTGGCCTAAACAACCCCCTTCTTTGAAGGGACCTCATGTCCTATGCTGGTTCCCTTACTATAGAGACCCCTGTGGGGAGCTGGGTCTCTCACACCTCAGCCCAAAGCTTGTTGACAGTTCCCCTCCATTAAGCCTTGCTCCCTAGTATTCTGTCCTCCCTCCCTGAGTTTGGCTCTTCAGCAGCTTCTGCCCCACATACAGCTTCAATCCTGGGCTTCAGGGCCCTATCCTGGGTAGATTCCCTTTTTATTCAAGCCTTTTCCTTCAGCCTAACTCTGGACTCTATAAAATAAACTATTCTACATGACAGCATGACCCAAGAGGGAAAAGGTCAATTCCTGTCATTGTACCCAATTCTTTCCTTCATGGGTTATAGCTTTACAGATGGCCTTATCTGCTGTTACCATTACATGACCCCTTGTTTTGTCTCATGCTCATTACCCAGGAGTTTTAGATAGGATGAACTCCACTTGTTATTCATTAGGTGTTGCTTAGCATCCCTTTTGTATCCAGAACAATACTAGGTATGGTATAGTGGGGATTATAAGAGGAGTGGATACCACAGACCCTGCCCTTGCTGTATTCACCACAGATAAAGATTTGCTGAGGTGGCAGGGGAGTTCTATGGACTCCTTTACCTTAGACCAGTTTCATTAATGGTTGCAGAGCCAGGGAATGGCAGGTACTCATGTTTGTGTGTATGATAAGTGGGAGCGCAGGGAGGAAAGAAGTCTTATGGGTTCCTGTCCCCCTTCTTTCCTTCCTCCCCATGGCAGCAACAGCCAGGCCTGTAGCAGTGCTCTTCGGAAACCAGCTGTGTCCATTGCTGATAGCACAGAGCTCCGGTGAGTAGGGCTCACTATGGGCTTGAAACAGGCAGATGATAAGAACTGGGTTACCCTTTCCTCAGATCCCAGATGACCCAGATCACTAGGAAGTTGCCTCCTAGCTAATCTCACTGGGTTGGGCTCCCTCAGAGACCATCTCTGAGGTCTCTGACTACAGGCTGGGAACTGAGTTGGGAGCCTTTTGTGACCTTTCTGTAACCCCAGGGTGCTGCTGAGTGTCATGTACCTAATGGTGGAAAATATCCGCCTGGAGCGAGAGACAGATCCCTCTAGGTGGAAGACAGCCCGGGAGACCTTCCGCACTGAATTGAGTAAGAAGTGGTGCTTGAGGAAGGGTGGGGATGGGGTGCTGATGGTGGAGGGGAAGCAGAGCATCTGCCCAGGAAAGTCATACAGTCTTTTTTTTTTTTTAATTAACATCTTTTCTTTTAGCCTTGGTTTCCTTGGTTATAAATGGGAATAGCCATCCCTCTCCCATTCCATCATGAATCCCACATGAAAAAAATGAGTTAAATCACCTTGAAAACTGAGCTCTGTCCAAATGTAAATTGGTATTGTCATCTGACAGGGATAGGATATGAAGGCCTATGGGATTTAAAATATGTATTTATTGATGTGGGAAAGTGAGGTATGATCTACAAATCCTTCAGCCAGAAAGTGATATCTTCATTACTGTTACTTCTAGTTTGTCATTCACCCCAAAGTATCACCCTAAGTTCTGGGGACCAAGCCATTTTACCTCCATGGCCTCCCTTCCTGCCCTTGAGGGGCTTCCCTCTAGGGGTTCTCTAAGCCTCCTCAGGACCAAGTACTCCAGGATTTTTCAGGGGAGATGAGTATCTAACTCAGAATGTCCAGAATCAGAATTATAGGGCAGGGTTTCAGCTGCTTCATCCTCACTTTCTCACTTGCCTCTCTCCACATTCCTCAGGCTTCTCTGTGCATAATGAGGAGCCTTTTGCCCTTCTGCTCTTCTCCATGGTTACCAAGTTCTGTAGCGGCCTGGCCTCCCACTTCCCCATAAAGAAGGTCCTGCTTCTGCTCTGGAAGGTGGTCATGGTGAGTAGCTGATCCTTCCCATTCTCAGCTCATCAGGTCGGCAATGCCTTATGCCACTTCAGTTTCTTCCAGGAGGCTGGAGCTAGGCAGCAGAATAGGATACCTGTTAGACAACAGCTAACAAGGAGGGGTAACAAGTCTGTCCTAGACACATCAGATGTCCTTTGTCAGAGCAGGTTACCTGTTTTATTGGATGAATGGGAGATGCCACTTCATGAGTGGGGAGGTCAATGGCGTCTTCCCCTACTAGAGCTGATGTTTCACGAAAAGAACACTGACTGAAAGTTGGGAGATACAGGTTCTGCTGATACTGAGGAACCTTGAGCAACCCTTCAGGCCTCAGTTTCTCCAGCTGTGAAATGTTGTATTTAGTCCTTCCCTTTCTCCAGATAAATAGAAAATTGTCTTAAAAAAAAATGAAGTCCTTATAAGTATATGGTTGCAGTTTTGTTACTAATTATTCAACTTGATCTTCCATCTCTGGCTGAAAAACATACCCTCTAGGCAGGCCTCAAAGGGGGAACTGCCTTATGACTGCAGAAGAAATTGAATGACTCTGGGGGTTTATGGCATCTAGATGTGCTCCTGAAAAAGAGAGAGAGTTTCCTGGTTTTTTTCAGTGGGGGCCACCTGGAGTCCTTTTCCTAACTTCTGGAGATGTTTCCAGCTCTGGATCAGTAAATAATGCTTTATCCTGACCCGTGAACTCCTCAAATTGAGAATGATAACCACATTTGCCCTTTCCTGTTTTACTACTTCCTTATTAAGGAGAGTGTCTGAGGGGACTGGAGGTCATGGCTCTTGCTCTCCATCCATGTTTCCATGACCTTGATCTCTCTGACTTCCTTCCCTTCCTTTCTCTTCTCTGCTCCTTTCCTGTTTGCTCCTCAGTTTACCCTCGGTGGATTTGAGCATCTTCAAGTTCTCAAAGTACAGAAGCGGGCAGAACTGGGCCTGCCTCCACTGGCTGAGGACAGTATCCAGGTGGTGAAGAGCATGCGTGCTGCCTCCCCGCCCTCTTATACTCTTGATCTGGGGGAGTCTCAGCTGGCTCCGCCACCCTCCAAGCTGCGAGGCCGTCGTGGTTCTCGAAGGGTATGGATTAAAGCAGAGAGGGGTGTTGTTACACTGACTAGCTCAAAATCAAGATTCTAAGCTACTCTGGGTGTGGTAAGAAAGAGCAGTAGATGACCTGACTCATCCTGCCCCAATTTGGCCCCATGACCAATCTGAAACCTTACAGTCTATGCTTTGGCTTCTGTCCTCCAGCCCCAACAGGCTCCTGGGCTGTCCTTATGGAACATTGTAATATTACATCATATAGCCATGTCTCGCCACAAGATCATTGGCCTAGACCTCAGTGCCTGGAGTTTCCTTAGCATCCTGAACAGTTAAGGTAGAATCCTGGGGCTAAGGACCAGGGCACCTGAACAAGGCCGCCAGCAAATCCCTGTGCCTGGGGCGAGGCAGCAAGTAGGTTTGCTCTGAGCCAGCCATACTCTGGCCCTGGAACCAAAGGCTTACATTTGAGAGATGACTGGTTAGGGTTTTCAGTATAGTCTGCTGTCCTGAAAAGGTCATATTGACAAGTTCCCCTCCCGGGAACTCACTACCTCAGTTCACCAGCTACAGGTGATAGGACTAGACAGTCATGCTCATTAATCCAGTCTACATTATCTGCAGTGTGATTTTTTTTTTAACCTTTATTTTTTATTTTGTAAAGTAATGCTTACTCATTGTAGAAAATTTGGAACAAATATAAAAATGTGATGAAGGGGAACTCACTACCTCAGTTCACCAGCTACAGGTGACAGGACTAGACAGTCATGCTCATTAATCCAGTCTACATTATCTGCAGTGTGATTTTTTTTTTAACCTTTATTTTTTGTTTTGTAAAGTAATGCTTACTCATTGTAGAAAATTTGGAACAAATATAAAAATGTGATGAA